GACGTGCCGGGCCTCTGTGGGTGAGAGAGCCCATCTCTAATCGATGATTGGTCACCGAACCCAAGCTGTGTTTCTGAACAAGCTACTGCAAGCGGTGTGTGTGTGAGAGCGCGCGCGCACAGATCAAGCAAGACCTCTCGACATTTTTTTAGGATGTCGTGCGCGAGGAAGAAGGGGGAGGAAGGAAGTGAAAAAAAAAAGAGAGAAGAAAAAAAAAATCGAGTCAGAGGGTGGCTGTCGCAGGAAGGGAAAAAAAAGAAAAAGAAAAAGAAAAAGAAAAAGAAAAGGCTCTGCTCATGCAAGGCAGCATCTGAGAGGGGTGCTGTTGAGCGCGCGCACTGCGAGGCCCCTCCAACTTGGTCAACTTCTTTTTGACCACCAATTCCGCTTCTTTTTCTTCGTTTGTATTCTTGCAAGTGACCCTGACCGATGCGGTGAGGCTCCTGACTACATGAGGGAATCCTTGGGAAACCATCCACCCCATCTTGGGATGGTCATGGTTGATGAGCTCCCTGTCGGAACGGTCTGTTGTCAATTCCATCCAGGGAAGTCGACTCGGAGGGAGGGCCCTAGGTCAGGAATAGGCTGAAAGCCGGGGTTCTTGGAAGAAGCCTCTTACAGAACCTCCCCTCTCAAGGTTCCTCCCCCCGGAAGGGCATGAGTCAGTGCAACGAGAAGAAGTCTGTGGGAAGACTGGGTGTTTAGGATTGCCTTGTGAATCGAAACCTTTACCCAGTGGCGCGATAAAGCGATCCGTGTAGCGAATGGGAGGCGAGACTGCGGTTGGGGGTGGGTTGGTCGGTTTTGACCTTTCTTCTTCACCTTTTTTTTTTTGAAGGGGAAGGGGCGATATCCTTTCTATGGTCCGATTTCAAAAAGGGGTGAAACGTGTTAGCCTTCGTGGTTTGTTCACGTTCTAGCGAATCATGAATATAGTTGGTATACGAACTTGGATGCTATGATTATCATTATGATCATGGAACTCTCGTCACTTGCATCAAGAATCATGAATAATGAATGTGTTAATGTGAGTGGATTCGATGTGGCCTTCCGCCTCCTTCTCTACCTTGTCTCTCCTTCTTCTTCTCGCACTGTCGCAGTCAACCAGTGAAGACTCATGACTCTCTGTCAACAAGGCCGACTCGCCTTCCCCTCTTGTTCCCCCTCTCCTTCCGAACAGGTCCGTGTCACTCCCCATCTTCACTCACACTCCAGCTACTGCGAACCGTGACTAGAATTCGGATTGCAGAATTCGAATTCGCCAACAGAAAAGGAAGAGGGGAGAAGGGAGGCTCAAGTGTTTGGGTCTGTTCATGATTCTAATTGTGACCTCGACTTCCGCCAGATTAGAAAACCGAGTGACTGCTCCCCTTCTACCTGCTCTTTTGGAATTGCGGGAAAAGCTCTCACGAATCGCTGCACTTCTGTCCTGGGAGGTTTTGCGCGGGCGAACGACAGCAGAAAGGCTGGGGAAGGCGAAGGCGAAGGGGGGAAAGGGCCTCCCTCTACCCGGCTCTGGCACAGTCTCAACCTGACGGTGTGCAGCCAAGGTTGGTTGGCTCCCTCGTCTCACGCCCGTGCTCGTGGATTTCTTCTTCCAGCCGGACAGCCAGCCAGAGAGCGAAAGGTAGGAGGAGGGGGGGTTCAGCTCTTCTCGAACGATTTTCCTCTTCTTTTTCCCTTCCCCTTTCCAGGCCCTTTGACACCTTCCTGAATCCTTTTTAATCTCACCCCTTGGCCATCACAGTCTTCCTTCTTCCCCCTCTCCCCACCATCCTCCCCCATCTCCTCTGCTCCTGCACAACTTGACCATTGTTGTGGAAGCTTAGACTCTACCGCCAGATCAGCCCTTCCCCTTCTACCAAACCGTTTCTCCCTATTTTTCCCCCTTCTTCCTTCCTCTCATCCCGCATATACACAATGGCGTAAGTGGTCACAACTTATAAAAAGGCTCCTGACTTGAGAGAGAGAGGGGACGTGGATCAAATCTTTCAGCGTCTACCTCTCCTCCTCTTCTCTACTGTCCTACTTGATCGTTCTCGTCTTTCACTAGCTGACAATCCCTTGAATGCATCTACGCCACGTATTCTTGCATTGCCCCTCACAGTCAATCCGCAGTCCTTGGTTTCCCACGAATCGGCCCACAGCGTGAGGTCAAGAAGGCTCTCGAAGCCTTCTGGGCTCAGAAGATCAGCGCTGAGGAGCTTCAAAAGGTTGCTACCGAGCAGCGATTGGCTACCTACGCCACCATCAAGAGCCAGGGCGTCGACATCATCCCAACTGGCTCGTTCTCCCTTTACGACCACGTCCTTGACACCTCCAACACCTTCAACATCATCCCAGAGAAGTATGCCAAGTCTGGTCTCAACCCTCTTGACACCTACTTCGCCATGGCCCGTGGCCACCAGCGAAACGGTGTCGACCTTCCAGCTACCGAGATGCAGAAGTGGTTCGACTCGAACTACCACTACCTCGTCCCAGAGCTCAAGGAGGACACCGAGTTCAAGCTCAACAACTTGAAGCCAGTCGACGACTTCGTTGAGGCTAAGAACGCTGGCTACAACGCCAGGCCAGTCCTCCTCGGACCAATCACTCTCCTCGCCCTCGGAAAGGCTTCCGATGATGCCAAGGACCCCAACTTCGACCCAGTCAGCCTCGTTCCAAAGCTTGCCCCTTACTACGCCGAGTTGCTCGTCAAGCTCGGCGAGGCCGGTGCCGAGTGGGTCCAGGTCGACGAGCCAGTCCTCATGTTCGACGACGCTCAGAAGTACGCCGCCCTCTTCAAGTCTGTTTACGAGTCCTTCGCCCAGACTGCTCCTAATGTCAAGGTCTTGTTGACCACCTACTTCGGGCGCCTCGACTCCAACATCGAGATTATCAAGGACCTCCCAATCGCCGGTCTCCACATTGACTGTGACCGTGCCCCAGAGCAGATTGACCAGGTCACTGCCGCTTTCGCCTCCAAGAAGACCGTCATCTCCCTCGGTCTCGTCTCTGGAAGGAACATCTGGAAGACTGACCTGAGCGCCGCTCTCAAGCTTGCGCAGAAGGCCGTCGCCGCTCTCGGAGGTGACGCTTCCCGAGTCATCATTGCCTCCTCTTCCTCCCTCCAGCACACTCCAATCACCATCGCCAACGAGAAGAAGCTCGCCCCAGAGGTTCTCGACTGGTTCTCCTTCGCCACCGAAAAGTGCGGTGAGGTCGCCACCTTGGCCTCCGCCCTCCGTGACCCACAGTCTGCCGCTGAGCGCCTTGAGGTGAACGCCAAGTCGATCAAGGCCCGCCGTGACTTCGAGACTAACTCTGACCCAGCGGTCCGAGAGCGTGTTGCCAACATCAAGCCAGAGGACCTCAAGAGGAAGTCGCCATTCCCAGTCCGACGCGAGATCCAGCGTCAGCGCCTCAACCTCCCACTCTTCCCAACCACCACTATCGGCTCCTTCCCTCAGACCAAGGAGATCCGTCAATACAGGGCCCGATTCAACAAGGGTGAGATTACCCAGGAGGAGTACGAGAAGTTCCTCGAGGATGAGATCAAGATGGTTGTCGAGAAGCAGGAGGCCCTCAACCTCGACGTGCTCGTCCACGGCGAGCCAGAGCGAAACGACATGGTTCAGTACTTTGGAGAGCTCCTCGACGGCTTCGTCTTCACCCAGAACGCCTGGGTCCAGTCGTTCGGCTCCCGTTACGTTCGTCCACCAGTTATCGTTTCGGACGTCTCGCGACCAAAGCCAATGACCGTCCGATGGTCCGCCTACGCTCAGAGCATCACCAAGAAGGCCATGAAGGGTATGCTTACCGGCCCAGTCACCATCCTCAACTGGTCTTTCCCTCGTGTCGACGTCTCGCGTGAGATCCAGTCCAAGCAGATTGCCCTTGCCCTCCGCGACGAGGTCGTTGACCTTGAGAAGGCTGGTATCCTCGCCGTCCAGGTCGACGAGCCCGCCATCCGTGAGGGTCTTCCTCTCCGACGATCCGAGTGGGACGCCTACCTCAAGTGGGCCGTCGACTCCTTCAGGCTCTCGACCTCGGGTGTCAGCGACGCCATGAACACCGCTTCCCACTTCTGCTACTCTGACTTCAACTCCATGATGAACTCGATCATCGACCTCGACGCCGACATGATCTCGATCGAGAACGCAAAGGCCGGCTCCAAGGTCCTCAAGGTCTTCCAGAGCACCCAGTACCCTAACGAGATCGGCCCAGGTCTCTTTGACATCCACTCTGCCCGTGTTCCATCCGAGGAGGAGATGTACCAGAAGCTCGTCAACATGGCATCCATCCTTCCTAAGGAGGCTCTATGGGCCAACCCAGACTGTGGTCTCAAGACCCGTACCTGGGCCGAGTGCGAGGCTCAGCTCAAGAACATGGTCAACGCCGCCGAGCGTGCCCGCAAGGATCTTGCCTAAACTGGCTCCGACCCCGTGGCCAAGACCATGTTAACGATTACCACCCCATATGCATGCTAAGGGCGTCAACCGCCTAGAAAAGAGATTCAACCCTCTACAGCTTGCTCCCTCTTGCCTCTCCCGGTTGATGTGCAACGGGTTTCCCTTAGCGGCAACCGTGCAACGCGCATCAAGCCTGGGCTTGTCTTGTCCCGTTCTGTTAATCGGTTATTCCCATTTCATTCCTTGTATTCCTTCCCCTCTTGCCCTTTTGCATGATCTTTTCCCTGGTCTCCATCGCTCTTGGTTCCAACACCTCTGTACTCCTAACACAAGCATTCAACATGATATCCCTCCCGCATTCCAACAACAAAGTATGAGAAATCTAAAAATTCTATGAAGTCCGACCCACAAACATTTCCGAACCATGTTTTCCAACTTGTCCGTTTGTCAGTGGCCAAACCCAGGTCTGTGTTGGGGAATCGGAAGTTCTGGCATGACTTTCGTTGGGGCGCACCGTGGTCATTGAGAAGAGTTAGAAAAAGTTGATCCGTTCTTACATTTTACTCACCAGGGATTAATATTGCAAGAATTTCTCTTCAAATCAACTATGGCCGGCTGGCGCAATGGCTAGCGCGTCGACCTTCTAGACACACATGTTTAGTTTCAGTCGAAGGTTGCGGGTTCGAGTCCCGCGTTGGCCTATTTTGGGAACTCTTTTTTGCTTCAAGGAGTATCACACACTCTTTTAAACTTTGATTTGTATCACTAACTGCTGATATTGTCGACAAACTGCAATGAAACGACAGTTGGCCGGCTGGCGCAATGGCTAGCGCGTCGACCTTCTATTTTCGTTGCCACCCCGTTACGGTGATATGAAGTCGAAGGCTGCGGGTTCGAGTCCCGCGTTGGCCTACGGTTTTTACCTTTTTAGTTCAAACTACCGTTCATTACCCCAGGTAGAACGGGTGTTACATCTGTTCACACCCTTTTACTGATGACGAACGGGAGTTCGCATTCGAACATTTGCTCTGGAAGGCGCTCAAAGATAGGTTGGCTGCCTTCCCTTGTTCAATTCTCCTTCGTTTCCTTCTTCAAGGTGGTACGCACAACGTCGAACACGCATCCGTCACATTTGGACCTTTTCAGCTCAACGAAAGGAGAAGGGGGAGGCTACCTACCAAGACGGGGACCTGAACGACCGTAAAAGGGAAGGTAGGGGAGGGAAGGGAAGGGAAAAGGATTGGACCGGGTAGTGGGGGTTTGGGGGGAAAAGGCGATTTCAGATCAGTAGGTCGAACCGATGTCTTCCTCCAAACCTTCAACTGCCATCATCCTGCCCATCTCGGACCTTCGCTTCCCGAGGGACCAGGGGAGGAAGGTTAGGCTGATCGGGTTGTGAGTCCTTTCCTTTCTTTCGAGAGTTGTTCCAATTCCTTCATCCATCCTTCCTTCCTCCCCCCAGCCCATCCTTGTCTCATGAATGAGAACGGAACGGATGAAAACCAGACCGAAGGTGAAAATTGATGGTTCAATGGGAGGGAAAGTGACGTCTGACTTTCCTCTTTCTTCTCCCCCCCCCCCTCTCTAGTCTGACATCTTTCGACGTGACGACCTCGTTCGGAGTCCTCTCGGACGAAGGTGAATCCATTCTCATCGACCTCTCACTGGTTTTGGAGAAGGAGGAAGGCGAGTCGAGGAGCGATCCAAACCCTAACACCTACCCACCCTCCGTCAAGTCGAAATTGACCTGCGTAGGGTACCTTGAGAGGTTCGAGGTGAGTTCAGGCAACGTGGCAACATCCCTAAAATGAGTCAATAGAATAAAGTAAAAAAATAACATGAAAAGAATGAAAAGGGTAGGTTTGGAAGATTGAGAATCCCTAACCTCTTCCCCCCAACCACGTCTTCCAAAAAAAAAAAAAAAAAAAAAAAAACCCAAGAAGGAAGTCGTACCTTTGCCGGAGGATTTCAAACCGGATCTCTCCCTGGACCTAGAGGAACCTATCGTGAGGATGCGTAGGAGGGCGGTGGGAGAAGGAGGGCTTGAGATCGTCTCGAGCTCGGCCGCCTCACCTCCCATCGCTCCCCCTGTGGTCAGTTTTCTAAAGTCGGACCCAAGCAGGAGTGGGCACGTCCTCAAGGTGATCATGATGAGACCTTGCGAAGGTTTGGACTTGGGTTTGTGGAACGAGGCGATCAGGTCCCGTTCTCAATTCGAGTGGGAGAGGGTGGAAGCGGAAGGGGGTCGATGATGATGATGGAGGGATGAGGTAGGGTGGAGTGAATGCCGAACCCCCCCCTCCCTACGAGCGCGCCCCATTCCCTCCATCTTTCCATAATCTTCTCTCTCTCCCTCTCTCTCTCTCCCTCTCAATCTCTCTCTCTCTCTCTCTCTCTCGCGCACACACTTTGTCGGAACAGGCTCGAAACGTAGACCAAGGTCGTTGAAAATAGCAGGAGCCAAAAACCAAGGCGAAGCGTAGGCTAGGGTGCGTTCCGCATCAGTGAAGAGATATGATTAGATCTGGCACGAACAGACGTACAAACAAACCAAAGACGGGAAGTGAGGCTCTAGCAAGAAAAGGGAGGAAAGGGAAAGATGTGCATGCTTGATCGATTCCGGTGGTGTTGTGTGACGATCTCCACATCGGTTGGGCGTTCATGTGAATGAGTCATCAACCCCGATCCACTCTCTCACTCGTCGGCTCCTGAGCTGGTGTAGATCCTTCTTCTGAACCTCTTCCACAACTTCTTGTCCGAGACCAGCCTTCTGCCCAGCTGTAGCATGGTGCCAACGTCTATGCTTTCCAGACCGTAGTCGGTGAACTTTCTCAGCCTTTTCTCCAGCTTGACCTTCTTTCCTCCATCGGATACGTTGTCGTGGTCGCGGTCGTGGTCGTGGTCGTGGTCTTGATCCCGAACGGACGATTTCACCTCCTTCTGCGCTGCCTCCTCGATGGACTCGACGGCGGTCAATGACGACGACGGAGTGTAAGGCTGGTCGAGACCGAGCTCTCTCAGTTCCCTCTCGAGCAGCTTTTTCGGCACCGGCACGTGATTGATGGACTTGTTGGCCGCCGCACCCTCCTCGTCCGACCAACGGCTTTCCACGTCCGAGATCGTCGGAAGGAATTCGCTCCACAGCGTCCTGTGCTGGTAGGTGGTGTACTCGAGCCTGTATTCGACCTTGAGCGACTTTTCGGCCTTCTTCATGCCCTCCTTCTCTATCACCTTTCTCGCCTCCACGTTCTGAGAGTCGATGTCCATCACCCACTGGCTGTAGCCGAGCAGCGAGAGGAAAGTGTTCCTCCTCGATGGCGAGTCGGGAGAGGTGTGACTCGGTTTCTTTGCCCCTTCCTTCTTCTTCTTCTTCTTGTTCTTCTTCTTCTTCTTCTTCTTGTCTCCCTTCTTCCCCTTCCTGTGCTTTTTGGTCGGTGGCCTGTGGTGGTGCCTTGATTTCCGCGCGCTCACCTCCCCATCCTGATCTAGGTCGCCTTCCGAATCTAAGGGTTGTCCCAGATCGTCGTGATCGTCGCTGTGATGATCATCATCTCGGCTCACTTTCTGCCGGTAGGGGTCCACCGTGGAAGTGTTGTAGGTCCAGACGCGGAAGGAGGGGAAGTAGGTTGGGATGATGGAAGGCGCGATGAAGTAGATCGAGTACCTCCCTTCGTCTGTCCTGGCTGGACCTGGCAAGGTCGAGTACTCCTGTCGGAGATCGTCAGACAAGGTCAAGGTCCCAACCACCCCCTCGTCCTCCTCGTCCTCTTCTTTCACATGTAGCCCGTCAAGACGATCATCGCTACTCGCTCCTGTCCTCTTCTCCCCGCCTTCTTCCAGATCCTCCTGGATGAAGAAGGCGTCAACGTTCATGTGACCAAAGTGTTGGCCGACGATCGTGTCCTGATACCTGAGCGCGATGTCGGTGTAGACTTCGTAACACCTCTCAAAGTAGTTGCCGGGCGTGGGGGGGACGTGACCGATGAGGTGGACCTGGAGCCCCCTCTGTCTGAACATGTCGAGTTGAATCTCGAGCCACTCTAGTTGGAGAGTCCCCGGGTCGACCTGGTCGTCGTCGTCGCGACGCTTCCTCTTGGCGCAGCCGTCGACGGCCTTGTTGCTGTCGTAGAAATAGAGCGTGTTGAGCGACATTACGGCCAGCCTTCCGGGGATGACCTCCTTGGAAAAGTAGCCCCCCCTCTCGAACGTGTGGAACTCGTACTCGGGGATGTGGTCCGACCAGATCTGAACAAAGTTCTTGGTGATCGGGTTGGGACCGGGGAAGAGGATGTTGTGCGGGAAGATGTCGTTGTTGCCTAGCGAAGGGACGATCTGGACGCCAGGGAAGTGGTCCTCGAGGACTTTCAACGTCCAGCGGTTCAGTTGGAGGATCTCATCGAGCGTCCTGGGAAGGTTGGAGTCAATGTCGTGCCTCGCCGAGTCGCCGGTCCAGATGATGAAGTCGAATCCCTGTTCGGCTCGTTTCCTCGCTGATACTGTGGCGTTGGAGGAGCCGGTGGATGATGATGAGAGAGGATCGGTCGATTCGACAAAGTTTGAGCTGATCCAATCCAGGGAAGATTCGATGAGCCTTTGGGGAGCATCGCAGATGCTGACGCCGGTTCCCCAAAACCCCGACCCTTGAGATTTCAACAGTTCTAGATCTTTCTCCGTCGTCGTCGTCTTCGTCGTCATCCCACCATCGCGCTTGGGATGTTTGACCTTCCCGTGACAGGAGGTCTTGTCCACATCGGTCCCGTACAGGTAGAAAGGGTCTGGGTGGAGATCGGTCAAGTGGAGGATCCTACCGAACAGACGCAGATCATCGTCTCGGCCACTTTCGCCATCGCCCAGAGTCGGCGTGGGTGGCGGAGATGGTTGGTTTTGCAGCTGGTCCTGCGAAGGTTGTTCGTCGACTTGGAAACGGAACTGCGGGTTTGGCGATGGCGATGGTGGAGACTGCTTGGCGAACGGTAGCAATGCAACGAAGGTGAGAGATAAGCAAGGAAGGAAGAGCTTTGACTTGACCATCTTGAGAAAAATTGGAGGACGCTAACAGCCCTTCATCAAGACGACCAAGATAGTCGGTGGGCCCGGTCCTCGTCGTCTGAGCTCCGGGGAGGTCAAAGAGAGAGATCCAAACAATAAAAATGAGAAGGAAGGAAGGAAAGGAAAGGAAGACAGTCCGAATACGCTCCCTTCCTCAATCCTGGCCCCCTTTTTTTTCCCTTCCCTTTCTCTCCCTCTCCCTCGCTCCCTCTGATGTGGCCTGGTACTGGGTCGGGTGACCGGACTGGTTCAAGGACGTTGGGAGAAGGGGGAGGAGGATCCTCTACGATTGGATTCCGGAGTCGAACGGTTTAGTTGAAATGGCTAAAGAAGTAGAGAGGAGGGAATCCATCAAAGCAACCTTGGACACAGATACATTTGCCCTTTAGAACTTGTCACTGACACGGCATGGTGTTTTGTCTTCTTTAAACACCCTACTGTATCTTTTTGACTTGACTATCGAAGACCCAAGATGCTAGCCCAAAGAACGAGGTTGACTAAAGAAGAAGGGATAGAAAAGGAGAACCAAAAAAAGAAAGGATAGAAAGCCGAGGCTTGGAGGACGAAGAACGTGCACCAGATCCTAATCGGGAGCGAGGGTTAGACATTATGAGCTTCCTACCAACTCTTCTCTTCTCTAATTCTAATTTGTAGTCAACCTGATGTGGGCCCTTGAGTGTCGTGCGTGTCGAGAACTTTTCGTCTGAACCCCTTCGCACAGCACCTAGAGGCGGGTGTACCCTCGTGGTCTTAGTCTGATCCTCGTCCCTTGCAATTCTGAGAGGCTTTGGATAGGGTTCCTTTCGACATCATGGGCTCGTTCAAGGTTCATGAGTGTGCTCTCTGTAATAAGTAGTCCAAGT